AGCCAATCGGTTACAATCTGTGTTCCAGATCAGGAAATGAAAATGAGCTGAGAGACATGATCACTAGGTGCAACAATGTTGGGGTAAATATAAATGACAAATAGAGTATAACTAGTTATTTTCCCTGTGTAAAATTAATAGTTTTCTGTTTGTTTTGTAGGTGAACATCTATGTTGATGCAGTCATCAACCACATGTGTGGAGCAGGTGGTGGAGCCGGTACCCACTCGAGTTGTGGTTCATATTTCGATGCCAACAGCAAGGATTTCCCTACAGTTCCTTACTCCAACTTGGACTTCAATGACGGCAAATGCAACACTGGCAGTGGAAACATTGAGAACTACCAGGATATCAATCAAGTATGAGATGATATTATGTCAAAGTGTTCATTTCAACCATTGTTTATTGTGCAGAGTGGACTCTTGTTGTTTTCGTATTACAAATCTGAGCGCTGTAATGATGGCAGGTGAGAAACTGTCGTCTGGTTGGTCTTCTGGACTTGGCTTTGGAGAAGGACTATGTGCGTGGTAAGGCGGCCGACTACATGAACAAGCTGATTGACATGGGAGTGGCTGGGTTCAGAGTGGACGCCTGCAAGCACATGTGGCCCGGTGATCTTTCTGCTGTCTATGGCCGTCTCAATAATCTGAACACAATGTGGTTTTCATCTGGTTCCAGGCCTTTTATCTTCCAAGAGGTATTTCCATTCATTTCCAAAAGAAATATATAAAGGTGGCAAAATATGTTAGTGACTTACTTGGTATGTTATTAGGTTATTGATCTCGGTGGGGAGCCCATTACATCAGGCGAATACACTGGAATTGGAAGGGTGACTGAGTTCAAGTATGGTGCCAAGCTGGGCAATGTCATCCGCAAATGGAATGGAGAAAAACTCTCCTACGTCAAGTAAGTAAAGTTGCGGATTTACATTACTATTAATTATACAGTACAGTCCAACAGCACAGGGACTTTCCACTGTTTGTATTACTCCACTTGTCTGTGTTTGCACATTCCAGACAATCTGTTGAGCTATTAGTGGTTACAACATTACGCCATTGTTAGGTGGTGTCAAGTAATTGTACGAGTTAGTCACTGAATCATTAATTTAACCGTTTTATTCAAAATACGTATTCATTCAGGAACAAACAAGTGATACTTTTTAAAGGGGTCATATGATGCTGCTAAAAAGAACATTAT